TTCAGCTTCAACCGTAACAACACAAGAGCAAACAATAGATACAAACTCAAGGTTCTTCGCACCAAACTTGATTGCAGGAAATACGACTTCAGCAATAGAGTGGTCAATGTCTGGAATACTCTACCCGACTCTGTAGTTTCTTCCCCAAACCCCAAAAACTTTAACCTTAGACTGTCTACTATTGACCTCACCCCTTTCCTAAGAGGTCTGTAGGGGGCATCCATAAGCGCACCAATCGTGCCTACCATCCCTGTCCTATTGTTTCTTTTATTTTTCTTGCAGGTACCCATTTCATGTATTCATAACTATGTATACTTATACCTATTATCTTGTAAGCAATTGACAAATCAAATAAATAAATAAATAAATAAATAAATAAATAAATACTGCCACTAACAGATAACAGAAAACAGATAATCAGAGTTGGAAGGGACCTTGTAAGTCATCTAGTCCAACCCCTTGCCCAAGCAGGAGACACCACTTCTGACAGATGGCAGTCCAATCTCTTCTTGAAAGTCTCAAGTGATGAAGCTCCCACAACTTCCGAGGGCAACTTCTGTTCCATTGGTTGATTGTTCTCACTGTCAGAAAAATTCTCCTTATTTCCAGGTTGAATCTCTCCTTGTTCAGTTTCCATCCATGATTCCTTGTCTGGCCTACAGGTGCTTTAGAAAATAGCCTGACCCCTTCCTCCTCTCTGTGGCAGCCCCTCAAATATTGGAAGACTGCTGTCATGTCTCCCCTGGTCCTTCTCTTCCCTAGACTAGCCATGCACTGTTCCAAGGTCCCTTCCAACTCTTTTATTCTGTTACTCTTACCTCCGGTGTTCTCCTTCTTCCTGTTCTGCAGTTTCGGCTTCTTGGTCGGTCACTTACCCGGACAGTCTGTCGGCTGTCCAGGGTTCTTGTGCCGTGCTCCCCTGCAAGTTCAGCTTCCCAAGTGGGGTTTCCGACACCAATGGGATCGTGGCCATCTGGTTCAAAGATGTGGATACGCAGTCGGTCACCGTTTTCCACTCCAAGTCTCCGGAGACGATCGATGCTCGCTTTCGAAGCCGCGCCGAACTGCTGGGTGACCCCCTTAAACGCAACTGCACCCTGCTCCTGCGACACTTGACGATGGAAGATGTTGGCAAGTATTCCTTCCGGTTCGAAGTGGTCAAGGCGAATAGTTGGACGGAGAAGAAGCAGCTCCAGCTGACCATCACTGGTGAGTGGCCTGCTTCTCCAACCATGAATGGAACCATCTGTTCTGACCCAGCTCCCCAAATTCAACAAACCCTCTGAAGCAGTGGTGGGATTCAAATGTTTACTACCGGTTCGGTGGGTGTAGTTTGGTGGGCGTGGCTTGGTGGGCGTGGCAGGGGAAGGATATTCTGCAAAATCCCCCTTCCCTTCCCTCCCCACCCCACTAACCAGCTTTCCAGCTCTGTTCTCCTGTGGAGGGCAACCAAAGGAGACCCAGCCGATCAGCTGGGACTTGAGAGGCAGAACTGAAGACCGCCCATCTTAAAATATGCTGGCTGAGGGGTTCTGGGAATTGAAGTCCACCATCTTAAAGCATATTGGCTGGGGGACTCTGGAAGTTGGAGTCCTCCCCTTTTAAAGCATGCTGGCTGGGAAATTCTGGATTGGAAGTCCATTCCTCTTAAAATATGATGGCTGGGGAATTCTGGGAGTTGAAATTCACCCATCTTAAAACATGCTGGCTGGGGAATTCTGGGAGTTGAAGTCTACAAGTCTTAAAAGTTGCTAAGCTGGGACATCCCTGGCCTAGATGCTACTCTTAAGCTTATATGGGTGGCATGCAGGGGTGGGATTCAGCCGGTTCAGGCTGGTTGAAGAACGGGGAGGGGAATCCATGCTCCTTCAGTTCCCATCATCCCCTGTAGGCATAGAGACAAGATTGATGAAGTGGGGGACTTGGTGTTATGCTTGCAACAAACAGGAGTTGCAACATTTGGAAGTCCAGCCATCTGAAAGCATGTTGGCTGGGGGATTCTGGGAGTTGAAGTCCACAAGTCTTAAAGTGGCCAAGTTTGAAGATCCCTGGATGACAGCATAGCCAATGGAGTTAAGAGGTCTTCTCCAGGTCATTCCAAAGCTCATCCCTTTGTTTCTTTCCTCAGATAATCCTGATACACCCACCATTGCTGCCCCCGGAGACCTGAAGGAAGGAGTTCTGGAGACCTTTAAGTGTTCCAGTCCGTACGTCTGTCCCTATGACCACAGCTCCCTGAGATGGTTTGGCTATGACCCTGAGATCTCAAGTGTATCTGGAACAGTCCAGCTGGACACCACGACAGCCATCTCTAAGCAAACCCTCCAAACGACACTGACCTGGAAGAACCACCAACAGAAGTTGGTCTGTGAAGCATGGGTCGGGACCAAGAAGGCCAGAGGGGAAGTTATTCTCCATGTAGGACGTGAGTAGAGTAGTCCCACCTGCT